AACATTGCAATACATTATATTATAACTAAACATTTTGCAGCTGTATTTGACGTCCCAAAGGTTTAATAATAATTATTATGCTTTGGTAGAACGTTCACAATAATAATATTTATTAATTATAATGAGTAAAACAGACCCACGACAGTGTAGTACTAAAATTGCCTATACATAACGCCGTGTGATGCTAATGCATATTTTAATAAAATGTTTTCATAATATTATTCATGGCCATTGCATATATATATATATATTATTCATGGTCATTGATTATATATATACTCATAAGTCTTAATAATTGAATGATATATATTATATTTAAATTTAAGTACTAAATTCATCGCCTAAATGTATAAATATATAACTTATAATAATGTTTACTAAAATAGATGTATTTATCATCACTAATGCTAACCTAAATTATTAGATGACAACACACATTTTCAATGTAATATTCCTGATTAGAAACATTTTTTAATAATTTTGATACATAAAAGACACGAGAAATCTTCTAACTTCGAAGAAGACTATAGATTAGTTTCGTGAGTAGCGACGAGACTACAATGTGGACCACTCACTCACACAATTATGACAATCAATCATTTATTATACGAATGACTTGATAACTGGACATCATAATTCGTAATTTATTAAATAGCGGTAATATTATATTACTTGGAATTTACTATGAACCTATCTATAGTACAATTACCTTATATTTATCTGAAAATGAAGAATGCTAATAGGTACATAATAATATAATATTATTATAGGTATATAGAAGATTGTACATAATGTTGAAGTCTCTCACGAGTAAAGCACGTGATTTTAGCACTCAGTAGAAACTTTCTTTGTTATTATAAGTTACTTCGTTGTCATATAAATGCGATGACGTTATACATTTTTTCACATACAAATATAATATTATATTCGAATTACAACGAAAATACAACAAATCATGATACAATAGAATTGTTTTTAACGAGCGTATACCCACACGACGATCTCTGACACACTATGATAATAAAATATGACAAGTGACAAGTGACAACATTGAAATACGATCTCGCAAAATTGGTTGAAAATTTGAAACTTGGTTATCTCCGACTACCCAATCCCATCATTGCTATATTATTATAACTCGTGGGATATTTCGACTACCGTTCAGATTATCGTTGACATTTATCGATTATAGTTTATTTAAGGTTATGCACACAGATAATAAATGATAGATTGTCAACTGTTGGTTATTTGTTTAAATAAAATATAAATTTTTACTGATATTTGTTTTTTGTATCGTACAAAATGATATGGATTATAGAACTTGCCAGAAAAAGAAAAAGACAATGTGAAAGTATTTCAAAGTGATATGGGATTTAAAATTTTAACAAAAAATAATCCACCATGATATTGAGTTGTACCTATCTAGTTTAGCAAATAAAAGTTCAAAAATCATAAAATACTTTAGAGGAAAGTAAAATATTGGAAGTGTAACATAGGTACCTACATATTTTGTTAACAAAAAAATAAATAAATATTCATAGTGGAAGTTCCAGGTTTCTAGGTCGCTTTTTTGTAGTCGTTTGTCATTTATTATTGTTATAGCTTCGTTTATATGATTTTTGGTCCAAAAATCTATCATCTATGTCATTTTTACATAAGTCCATGTCTTACCACTACGGTGAACTTACATTAAATCATCAATATTATGCATATAATACATAACATTTGCACAGTATTATATTATATTATTGCACAAATACATAATATTATGGAGTGTAACTGTGTGTCTGTGTGTGTGGCGATATTATAATGGCAGAAGTAAGTACGCGGAAGACAAAATATGTATTGTCTATAATACACGGCCAAAGCTGATGTTGCCGCTATATTCTTCTGCGGTATATATTATACATTATTATAGTGCTTTGCGAGCTTGAAATCCATCACGGACTTCCGGAACAGCCTCCGGTGGTTCGTTGCATTGACGATATTACAATGTGAGTACGCATATATATATATATTCACATATAATGTATTATTATACAATATATATATATATATATAACGTACTATAACTGTGTATAAGACCCACGCACACACGAGCCGCAGGCAGTCGTCTAGCACAGCGCATTATGGGAGGGAAAAACCCTTTTTCTTCTTACACACGGCGCTTATCACCCGGTGAGTCTTGAACGGCTAAGAATATATATTACAATATATCTCGCTTAATGTCAGAATAATATGCGCAGCCTCTTCCTCTCTATATATATATTATAATAATATATAGCGTGTATAACGGTGCTCGTGTGTGATCGTTATGCGCGTTATATATATATACGCACATCAGGAAATTAATATTAATTAACCCAAAGGCCGTGGCGGTGGATGATATTTACCGAGAGTAGAGTTCATATTATATATATACTAAACGCGATATTATTATACATGTATATAAATATAATAATAAGGGACGAGGCGAAAAGCCAGTGCGGTTTTTGTGGTGAGCGCACACACACAAACAACAGACTGCGTGTCGGCAGCAGGCGGCGTAGGTATAATATATATATATATATATATATGTGTGGTGCGACTCTCTCATCGGAGATATAGCTGGGCTAATGAAAAGACAGATTAGAAATTTCCATATAAAAGCCACGACACGCAGGCCTGTTGTGCGCAGTGTAAATATATGCATGTGGGTGTGTGGGGTGAGGGGTATGTGCATGTGATTATATATACAGTGCGCTGCTGGCGGACACGACGATATCTCCACCGATAAGAATTGGGGGGAATGGTGGTGGGGGTGGATAGGAGGTGACTGCGTGCATGTGTGTACGCTCTCCCGGAGGATGTGCAGGATAGGATCATCGGGAAAACTCGGTGGCGGTGGCTATGTGGTTGGCGGCGGGGGTATCGCATTATGGATACATTAAATCTAAAAAGCCGCAGGGGGAATGATGCGTTGAGGAAGGATCGTGGACCCATAGTCTTCGGCGGCGGGCGAGTGGGTGGTTAAAAGAGGCAAAGTACAGCAGCGGACGGGCGGGGGGTAGTAAACGTATATAATATATATAGTGGTGGTGCGCTGTGGCAGGGGAAATGGATGAGTAGCTGATAAGAGGGTTAAAATCATCATTCAACGTCGGCCGTCGGTCCCGGTCCGGGCCGGCGGCGTCTGCTGCAACCGCGGGACCGCGGGAACAGTGGAGGGGAGTGCAAAGGATTTTTGGACGTGTGTATATATAAGAAAAGGGAACCGGGTAGGGCTTAGATAAGGGACTTTGGCGTATATTCGTATCTATATATATATATGTATACACCACTCCGAGATGCTTCCCGACCCGCCACCCACAGCCGTCCTACGTCATCCGCTCACGATGGTTTCCATATGAGGTCTTTGCGCGCGGCGGCGGTAATCCCGCAGGACGCGGTCGAGCAAAACTTTATCTCTATTCTCCTTCCTTCCCGCAAACAACGCAGGGTGCGGGCCGCGGTGCACTTTCCTTCAGCGGCGCAACTGCGCAGTACATATATACTAATATTATATTATGAACGATATATTATATATTTGGGCATGCGTGCATCGATCTTACATATTATTACCTACCTATGAATATTCTTATCTGAAGTCTATATAATATTATATCGAGTATAGTACTTCGACCTATAGTTGTTGTGGAGTCTAATATTATGACGGATAAAACGGTATATATTATATTGTTTTAAATGTTGATGTTATATCTGTGTACTTATCTGTGTAGTTCGTGTGGCGTGGGCATTTTTTTAATATATAATATGCTTTTCTATATATAAAGCTTACATATACAGCTTTCGACAAAAATAGTAAGTTTTTGTACTACACCTAAAAACTGGAAAAAACTCACTATGTTAAATTGTATTTTTATATAAATTAATTTCACCATGTAAACACAGAGAACTGTACCCGACCAACCATAGAGAGATTTAACTTTTACCTGTTATTTTCAATTGAAGTGTTGGTTTATCATTCCCCAATAATCACTATAAACTCATGATTACTCATAAGTCATAATCATCGTGTTTGAATTGTCTTAGCTTATATTATAGCAGTCAATTGAATACCTAAGTAACCAATTGTTTCGTAAATAACTAGTTTTTACATAAAATTATGAAACCAATATATGTACCTATACAATACTTGATATGCATTGTATTCAGCAAAAAATATATAAAAAAAAAATATTTTTTAAACAATATCAAATAATTTGTAACAAAAACATAAATATACATTCTTATGGAGACATATTAAAACATTGCTTATCTGAATTATCCAGCGTTTCCCGAACAAAAATATTCTGATTGTTCAACTACTTTTGGGTGGAAGCAATGTCTTAGGTACTAAGTGTAAATTATATTATACAGTGAAAACTCTTTATAACGAATCTGAAAGGACCAAGAGATTTCTTTCGTTATAGAGAGTTTTCGTAATAGAGAGGGTTTAAAAAAACAAAATTTTAATTATTTATGTATAAAGGTATGGCAACCTATGTAATATTATATATCAAACACATTATTATTTTTACATTATATTATACATATTTACGTATTATATTAAATTACATATTATTATTATTATTATTATTATTATTATTATTATACATGCATATTAAATATAATTATATAATTTAATTTTTATACTATATTTATACTTTATTTAAAATAGTCTGTCATCTTAGTTTGGACTTTTTTTTTTTTTTTTTGCCAATACTGTTTTTGTATTTTTCTATGAATTTGTCCCATGATTTGAGATAACTTTGGATCATCTTTATGAAAGTATGAAACAATAAGTACTTTTCTAATAATTTAGCCGCATCAAGTGCTTGTTGAATACTTGGTATTACGACTTCGTCAGGTTGTGCTTCCTCTTAATCTTCCTTTTGCTCCTCCTCGCCTTTTGTCACTGCATTTAGGATTTCTTCATCAGTTAACGATATTGTTGCAACTAGGTTCTCGTCTATTACTACTTAGTTTTGTAGATCCTCAGGAGTAAAAGTATGCGGAGTATTGATCTGAGTAATCCACTCACTCAGTGATATATCATCTTCTTTCTCAAATTGTTCTATTTCTTCTTCAGCATTGGCAAAACTTCGAAGTCCAGCATGACGAAAAGAATGCCGTATAGTTTCTGCTGTTACATCTTCCCAGGCTTTACTTAAGAAGTTCACAGCATCAGCCATCAAGCATATTGATAGAGGCATTGCCATCAGATTCGATAATGTCCATTAATTTTTTTCTTTCTATAGTGGCCTTTCAAACTTTTTATAACACTTTGGTCCATCGGCTGTAAGATACTAGTTGTGATAGCTGGGAAAAATATCATTTATATGTTCATAATATTAGATAGTTTGGGATGAGCAAGACAATTATCCACGAGTAACAAAATTGTTCGCCCCTTTAATTCTGCATCCCATTTTCTTATTTCTTCTTCAAAAAGTATTGATGTCATCCACGCTGACTTATTTGCTTTATAAATGACTGGCAACTGTTTAATATTTTTGAAACATCGTGGGTTTTTTGATTTGCCTATTACCATAATCTTTCTTTTTTTTCAGCGCCACTCATATTGGCTGCTACAAACGCAGTGATACGTTCTTTAGAAAGTTTACATCCCACGCATTTTTCCCCTTTGAATTTTAATGTTTTATCTGGGGTCATTTTGTAAAAATACTTGTCTCATCAGCATTAAAAATATTATCCGGAGTGTACTTTTCATTCAATTTTGGACACACATTAATTAACCAGCTGTTAGTAACATTCAAGTCGACATTTAGTGCTTCTCCACTTATTTTCCCATAGGTAATATTGAGTAGGTAATGGGTTATATAGCAAACCAACCATTATTATGGAATGTTTACGTTATATAGAGTTTTTCGTTGTAAAGAGTTTCGTTATAAAGAGTTTTCACTGTATTTTAATGTATCTGGCCATCTTGACCGATAAAGACTTTCGATTTCTACATTAGCTGTGGCAATTACGGGCGCCACCCCTACGTCCTTCAACAATTAAATTATAAAACCTAAATTCAGGACTAGCGTCAATTGCCACAACGAATTTGGTCGGGTCTACAACCGAAACACGCTCCTACCACACCAGGTCGGGGGCGGCGAATCGGCTGAAACCTGCGGCAGCTCGGTTGGGTGTGTGGGCAAACGGCCAACCCACCTCCGTTTGTGCATCACCTGCAGCCAAACTTGTCTGGACCACGATGTTCATTGTTGAACACCACCGCCTTGTCACCAAACAGTCGGAATCCAGACGCGCCAATTGCATTTTGGTCTGGAACTTTAACTGTAACACTAACTTTAAACGCTTATAACAAAAATCATGCCATTATATCTTTAATATTTTTCATTTCTTAGGTATATAAATAGAAAATTTGTTAAAGACATTTATAGAAAACGAACTACAAAAAATTAACAGTAATACAGTATAAATTTAAATTGCCTATAAATAGCTCAAAACTAGTCAAAACATTTTGAAAATAATAGAATAAACGTTTTATAAGAAATTCCAGTATCTAAGGTCATTTGGAAGGGGCCTTGGCCCCCCAAAAAATTTGTAATAGCCCCCGCAAAATAAATTATTAGTTTGTTTCCTAAAATATTAATAAATCTTTAAAAATTAAACTGTATTTCTTACTTTTTTTTGGGAAAAAATGTAATTATCTAATTTTGATTTAAACTTTACAATTATTTTATATTTCCTATGATAAATATGGTAAATATCATTAGCCGTATGCCTGTATTTTTTTGAAGGAAACGATTTATGTCGGTATATTGGTAAGATTATTATACATAATTTTAATGAATATAAAAATCCCGGAAAAAAATCCCCGACCCCAGGAAAATTAACCCCCAGACTACAATGTTACTGACAACTAGGTACATGAAATTGATTGATCAATTATTTTTTAAAAGCTAATTAGTGTAATAATTATCATATTATTAATATTTAATACAACTATATTATACTTACTAGTAGTAATATTTTATTTTGGGGATATATTATAATATATAGTATAAAAAAAATTATTATTGTTAATACCTGAAAATTATAATATAAATATTAAGAAATACCTAAGTTAAATTGTATTTATTATAGGTTAGTTAGTAGGTACTAATATAACCTAACCTATATATTTAAACTTTGAACATAGATTTTTATTTTTATTTAATTTTTCTTTAATATCTACTTGATTTTTAATTTTTTTTAATGATATTTAATATGTATAGTTTATACCTATACTATAAGTATATATTTGAAATTAAATATTATTAATGTGATATTTACACTGATTATAGCGTTTAAAAAATATTTGCTCAATCATTATCATGACGTGTTTGTGAGTAATATAAACTAATATTGTAGTCCGGGGATTTTTATTTTGATTACCACAAATATAGTATACTATTATTGTGAAAAATTAAATTTGAGTAAATAAATATTTTTTTTTGTATGATTTTTTATATTTTTATGTGAATATATAGGGGGTGTGGGGTACAGCCCCCCCAAAAAAAAATGTTAGCCCTAGTGGCGCCACTGCTGCTGCAGTAGGCAATGATTATTGTTTAAACCATTAAATATGTGTGTGTCTATAATGTTATTATGCTACACCGTTTACACCGAACAACTCGACTACCCTTTTGTACTGGAAAAATTCCCCGGAGGATAAAGGAGCAATAATTTCCGCTCAAGTGCCGCGCACGTTACTACGTCAAATCCGGCCTTTGCACTGCGCCCGTGAACTTAGAAGCACGTTATTACGTTGTTATTTTATAATACACGAACTGTAAGTATTTCACTCTATGCTTATAAGTAGGTACAGTTATAGTAGGTACATACATATTATACGTTATGTTATTTATATAATTTATTGTACACGCGTCGTCAATAGCCAAAATATAATTTGGATAATTCCATTTATAACTGAATTCGGCTGCCTTCACTTTAAAATTAGTTGTTTAATTAGCGCCCGGCAAAAATAATGGCACCAACGAAGTTCTTAAAATAGATTGTGTTTCCTTTATTATTAGGCTAATGTAGCTAGGTTTATGATTATGACTTATGCGAAAACCAAATTACATTGAACGGAATGTCTCCGGCGCTGGTTGCCATATAACTGTTACAAAATATATTTGTCTTAATTGTATCATTTAAAAACAGTGTTGGGGAGTACCTTGACAAGTTATAAGTTATTGTAACGAAATAACTTTTGAGCAATAAATTGAAGATCCGAGGGCAACAGTAAGACATTTCCAATTAATAAAATTGTTCAAGATGCAATTTAAACTGTTTTAAAAATTAACAAAAAATTAGTAGCCATTGACAAGTTGTCAAAATCAATTTTTTTTTATTGTAAAAAAAACCAAATTTGGAGATGTATTGTCGTTACACTAAGAAATGATATATATATTCGTTATAACCTTATGAGTAAGAATAATTTTATTATTAATATGAAAAAAATGTATAATTAGGTACCTACATCGGCTACATCACTATTCATTGTTAAAAATTACTTATTTTCAAAGGAAATAATATTTATTTTTTATAACGTGCAGCTATGATATCAAAACCAAAATATAAAACTTGGTGATATCTTGACAGTCTTGTTGCACTAAAATCAAAAACAGGAATCTCCATTTATAATATTAAAAATGTGGAGATGTCTGTTCTTGCACCAAAATTAAAACCAGACATCTCCATTTAAATGATATTTGTGTATTTAACAGTCGGATTTGTCTGGTTGTTGCGCCAAACAAGACTTTTTTTTTTTTTGATAATGTGCAATCAATAACTGATTTTAACCAAAATATGGAGATGTCTTGTTGTTCAGTTGCCTTCAGGTCTTCAATTTATTGTGAGTGCCAATTGTTCTGCTTCGGTTATTGGTTTCTTTATTGGATTGCTATGTTCTTTATGCAATTCTACCTCGATCAATGACACTAAAAAGTCGAAAAGTTTATGGATTATACAAAAAAAACTTCGAAACTCATATGTAGTTTAATTTTTGTTTAAACGAGTTGAAGGATAATTCAAATGGATACTGAATTACCAGCACCATATTAGTACTGACTTCTAGTCATATAGTAATATATATATTATATAGGGGCTATAGCAATAGAAAATCAAGCCAAAAAATGTTGCAATTAAAACAATTTTCATTTGTATATAAAATTTTATATTTTTTAAGGAGAAAATTAATTATCGTAGTACCAAACGAATGATTGATAACTCCATAATAATAATTGATTTACCGGATTATCGTTTAGTTTTTTCTGGACATACATTGTTTTAGCCTAAATTGTTACTATATCTCACGTTAATACCCTTTTTCTCCAACGTTGGTATGAACCATTATATAAGTCAAAACTCCATGTGTCCATTATTTTTTATGTGATATAGGTACCGACCAAGTTTTTCCTTATTATTTGGATTTGTTTTCAGTTATACAAAATCTAATATATTGGACTTACCGCATATTTTCTTATTTTAATTTACATTTTGAGATGTCTTTTAATAGAAAATACTCTATTTTTACATTTGGAATCGATGTAAAACCATTAATATGAAGTTATCCTGTTTTCGCTTAGCACGGCAGAATTGCAGTATACAATTTATTGTAATGGGTAATTTAATATTGTAACTGTGGTAGATTTGAATTCGATGATAAATTATTGCATACGAACGAATAACGATTCTGGGCGGAGACGGTGTCATCCTAGCACACAATATATGATGTATTGATAGTCAAATTTAATAATTAAAAACCACTGAATTTAAAATATTATAAAAAATTTTTAATCAAACGCTCATAAAAAGTGAATGATACTGTCCAGTGAACTATTTTTTTTAATGAAAGTAGAAAAACTTGTTGTGAATCTTTTATTAAAATTTCTAACTGAAAAATAATTTGCAAATTTTCAGGATTTGGATGAAGTATACTGTCAACATTTGAACTTTAAATGCAATAAAAAATAATCATGACTATGTATCCTTGATATTTTAAACTGCTATTTCAAGCTTTTTTTCTAAATGAAAAAGTCGTTATTGACAATAATTTTAAAAAAATTTAAAAAATTTCTCACGGCTATAAATAGCCCTCAAAAATAGCCAAGATATTTCGAAAATATTACCATTTATGGTAAATACTGGTACTCGTGTAGTATACTACCTATCTAACCCACCTCTACTTCATTGGTGTAATAGGTATGCTACATATTACCTAAACCTACCGCAAAGAGCTATCAAAAAAGTTTATGGGTGTTTACCATTTTTACATAGATATAGCCATCTATATCTATACTAATATTATACCTAAAGAGGAAAGATTTGATTGTTTGTATTGAATAGGCTCCGAAACTACTGGACAGATTTTAAAAATTGTTTTACCATTAGAAGCCGACATTATCATTGATGAATATAGGCTAATTTAAAAAGTGAATTGATCACCCAGGGGAGGTGCTCAAACTGGAATTTTGAGATTTACGATAGAAATTTGTGTTTAAAAATAGTTGCCATGGGTTTTAAAGCTATTATAATAATAAATAATAATTATTGGTTGTTGTTTATTGAAAATGGTGGCTATCATCATAGGAGAAATAGTTAGTATAATATCGACGCCCCAGTTCAAAACTGCAACAACTCAAAATATTGGTTTATTGGGTATAATGTGTTTTTTATATTGTATCTCTATTTAACTTAATGTAAATTATAATATTGAAAATGCTCTCTCGTGATCAATAATTAAACTACATTTTATTTTGTTCTTCAAATAAATTCTTTCTTCTTCGACTAAATTGTCATAAGATGGTTTACATAACTCGGATTTGTTATATCTCGAGTTGTTGCAGTTTTTAACTGGGGCATCATATGGGGACATATTATGTCCGTAATGCCTACGACTGTGATGTACGACCGTTATCGGCATCATGGCGGCGTGTGTATAAACAATACATTACATTACTGTTTAGTTTTTTTTCTCATTTTAAAATGCCCAAAAGAACAAGATCTCAACTTTCTAGAAATAGTTCACAGGCTAGGGCAATAAAAATACGTCGTCATGGAGAATCTCAATCAGAAACTGAAAATCGTCTTGCAAGTCAGAGAGAATACGCAGATCAGCCATCGTTGCGGTCCAACATAGCTTCAACGCTAAACATTGATTTAATTAAAGAACTACAGACCACACTGAACAGCCACAATATATAATATATACGAAGTTTTAAACAAAACTTAGAACAAAACTCTTCGGATAATTTAAAGTTAATTATTCACTCCGACCGCCCAATACAGACAGCACACCCGGTCAGATAATGCTCCAGCTGTAAACGAGGTAGCCGTTCTTTTGGTAGATGAAGATAAAGGTCCCAGAGATATCGTACTGCACGGTAGAGACGGCCAACTTAAAAGGGTCTCTGAATTACACAGATCTTACGATCCTCTCCGATATCCATTGATGTTTGTAATGGGAGAAGACGGCTATTATTTGACCATTCCTCAAGAAGGTACTGCCCGTAATAAAACTGTGACCTGTGTCCTGTATGCAATTTTATGCATTTAGATTGATGGTTAGAGATGGTTTTAATCCACTACATTACTACAGGGACTTAAGGGCAACGAAGTGCACGGGATCAGCTAGTATATAATATAGGTACTGATTACCAATTTATTTAACTAAAATGAACTTAATGTATTGATGATCATCATTGTTAAGTATTTTAATACGTTATGCTGTGTTTACGTTGTTTACCGGTTGTTTACCGGAAAACTTCAAATAATATATTATTGACAATAAATTGTCGTATTGCGTTGAAATTATTGACCGCCGCTATTATCTTTTGGTTTTCGGTCTAACATAATATCAGCTATTGCTTTACACAGTGGCGTTAATAATATCTAATCTAGCTTTAATAATATCTAATGAGCATTTGAAAATCGAATTTTGAAAGAAGAGTTAAAAGAAAAATAACAATTTTTATCAAAAAATATTACCTAGTTAATTTGTTGTCATTCAAATAATGTTAAATCATAGGTACCTAATTGAAACATTTAACATTCCACCACTACTAATACTATTGTTAATTATACACAATTACATTTATAAGTGAACTACCTAATACCTACACAGTACAGTAGTACACATACAATTTTCAAATTTGTTTAGTTTTAGATTCTGAGTGAAACGATGAATGTATTGATTTTACAATGATGTGTGTTTTTTTTTTTGTGTCTGTCACCACGTTTTAGGACAGTAAAAGTGCTTGGATTTTCTTCAACAGTAGCTTTTCTGATAGGAAAGTAAATCTAGTTGGTACTTTGGGAGGTCAAAAGTGAAAATTTCCCAATAGTTTTCACGAGCGCCGGGAAAAACCACATAAAAATTAAGGAAAAACGGGAATTTTTACGCAAAATCGATTTTCCAAAAAATCGATTTTTGTTTTTGGTTTTTTTTTTAGCATTTTCTTTACACGATAACATTTTCAAAATGTTTTGATTTATTTTGAACTGTTTAGGCACATTTTCATTTTCCATTCTTTTTTTAGTTTTTTTTCTAAAAATATCAATACAATTTTATTTGTTAGTTAAAAAAGCTTGAAAATTTAATACAAGGCTCCTACTATATTGTTACAATGGCATTTGAAAAATATTAAAAACCCTTAGTCAAAGTTTATTTTATAAGCATCCTCGCAATGGCATTGATTTAAGGAGAATCATTTAGGCAATTTCTAATCTCCTCGTCACCACCCGAGATCTATGTGTTAGTCGTAAATGATTATTAGTGTGTGTGGCGTCCATGCGGGTCAATTTATTGAAGCGGTGAGAAGAGCTCTCGCACGCACTCGCACACACATGTCAATATAATATAATATTGTGACCACGAAAAAATGTTTATTTTTCACTCGAACATACGATTCTAATTCCAACATTACGTCTCAACGATTACCTCCATTTTCATTCTGACAAAATATTCTTATTTTCCACAGCATGTACGAGGGATCGATCGATGCACATTTTTAAAATTGTACTTAGTTAATTAAATATTTAAGTTGGAAATTCTGTACTTTTTTTGAATTTTTTACAATTTTTATTGCAATTTAAATTACAAAAATTAAAAATGTGACTCGATCGTTCCCTTGTATATATTACGGACAATCAGAATATTTTTTCAGAATGAAAATCGTTATAATTTTCGACACTTATTGTTGGAATTAGAAACAGTAGTTTTTGACAAAAAAAGACGTGGTAGTGAGGCCCCTTAAAGTTCAAAAATTAACAAAATATGGAAAAATCACGAAAATTGAGCAAATTATTTGAGATTAAGAATTCGTAAAAGTTTTTCTTTTTTAAATCTAAGGTTTTAACTGTAATACAAGATTCATTATAAGATTATCGACCTTGATCAGAAATAAATGTCGTACGACGGTCAAATTAATGGTTCTATGAGCGTTTGAAATTCAATTTTTATAACAGAGATATCACTCGATTCTCATGTAGCGATTTCTTATTTTGTTAATTCAAAAACGAACAACTGTAAGATACATGAAAATTTCACTGAATGTTTATTTCCTATACCATACAATTTTGAAAATATTTTACTTTTTGTTGACAGTTTCCTTTTTGTTTTATTCATAATTCATAACGTGTTATCTTAACTGGAAATTTCAGTTCCAATGGTTTTAGTTGTATTAAAGTCTAGGAAATATCAAGAAAGTTTTATCTGTTGGGCCTTTATCTAAGGATTGAAAATGTAAAACAAGATTCCACGTAAGTAGTTCTGTTACTAAAAAATCTACAAAATACATAAGCACAGTTTATAGTAATTTTAAGTTCAACTTTGGACAAAATTACATAAAAAAAACCTAGAATAACTATTTTAGTTATTTTGTTGTGATTGTGTAATATTATTCGTGGGTACTTGAAACTTCTAAAGTACACTATTATATATCTATGGAGTATGGACCATGATAGTATCAGGGTTTTTGTTGACGTATAACGCATTGTAAGTACCTAATGGATATTGTGATATGATTAATTTGGAATTTATTACAGGTACCTATTTTAGGTAAATTTTTTTTAATACGATAGATAAGTATATAAGTATAAGTATATATAGTAATATATTGTCTTATACCTAGACTGACATACCGTCTCCGCTCAGAATCGTTTTTCTTATACAATGCTATTATATCATTGAATTCAAATTTAATACTATCCATTATACAGTACCTACTGTACAGCAGAGCACTTTTTTTTTTCTGGTGTTAAGATTTTAAAATGTGTTACAATGTTCATCATAAGTGACCAGTTCATCAATTTAAAAATATCAAAGACATGTGCAGTTTTATTTGATAAGAGTTTGAAGTTTGATTTATCCCCTCAGAATCGTTTTTCATATCTATAGCTATATGATTTATTGTTGGGGGACGGAGTGGCCTAGCAGACTACGGCGTCGGATCAAACCCTGGCCACGGGAGGGCAGGCAACTGTCTAGACGGCGAGACCACCATCCCCCAACCGGGCATAGCAGAAACTTACAGGTACCCAAATGGAAATTCTGCCAAATAGGTGTCCGAACTAGGCCTTTGGGCCTACTCCCGGACATAGCGTAATACGGAAAAAAAAATTGTTGAATTCAAAATTACTATACAGTAGAGAAGAGAACTAACCTAGCAATATTGCTCCTGCTTTGAGAGTATTTTAAGAATTTGGTTAGCTATAATTGTATCCAGCCCACATTGCCCACCATGTGTGGACTGCAAAACACAACTACAACAAACAAAATAGGACAAAACTAATTATTTTTATAAGAACAGCAAAGAAAAAAACATATTTTTAATTAAAATCCTTAGAAATAGTTATTTATTTTAAAAATAATACAATATACATACAAGTTTTTTCACAGAATATAAGAAAGAGTAGTGCAAGAATATAAAATAATTATTTTTAATAAATATATAGAATAGAAGATAACTGTTAACTTATAATAGTTTTTAATAATATTTAAAAACAATTAACCATTTATAAAAATGGAAAATCTTAAATTACAAATAGTGAAAAATTAATAGCTGTATAATTTATACGAAAAAAAAAATAAATAACAATTTGATATAACATTCAGTCTATTGTGGAGAATACGCGAGGAACATTAGCGAATGATGTAGTAATATGGATGATTTAAACGGTCAGGCAGTCTGTTGCAGCTGTTGATGTTTCTGCTGCTGTGGTTGGTGGTGTTTCCATCGACTCAGGCTCATCCGATTCGTTGTTGTCCTAAAAACATAGATTGGAAAAATAATTATATTTTTCATACATTTATCACAAGCGACAAGTTTTATTGGGGTTTAATGCATTGCTCTATCCTTTACTCTTAACAGTTAATTGTAATATTTTTTTTTTTTATGAAAAACATCAATGAATATTCCAGCCTAAAGAATTTATCTACAGTAGGTATAATATAATGATCACTAATAGGTCAACATTTATTGACAATCTGATTTATTTAAATATAATATAACAGATAATCAAGCCAGTTTTTGACAGATTAAGCTATGTCTTAGCAATAATGTTTTATTTGGTTTTAAGAATTTTGTCTGTAATATCATGCGGCAATCCAGATTAAAACAATGATTACTGTACATAGTTTATATTTAAGTAGTTTAAATTACAGCTACAGTGGCAGGTTGTATGTAAATATATATTTAATATATACAAATTTTAAGTGTACATACACTCAAGGCCATATCTGAGGGGGGGAGAGTCCAGGGGGCCTAGACCCCCAAATTTCTTCAATATGACTTATTTATAAATAAGATATATTGAATTATAACCAAAATATAACCAAATATCCAAACCTAAATTCAATAAAATTAGAAAATACATGTTTTGGACCAACCCCCCCCCCCTCGAACAAAATTTCTGGTTACGGCCTTGCATGCATTACCTAAATCCATTAGAAATATGAGGATACATTTCATAAGACATATAGATATTGGATTATTATGACAAATGAAAGCAGCTACATGACATAGATTATAGATTTAGACAGTAAACAGTAAACAATTACGACACAACTAAAAATAGGCACCCACGGTTTAGCAATTAATATACATTGTGTACTAGTCAGTCTTGTATATAACCCCATTCTGTGGGATCTGTATCTGACAACTAGTTCCTCACATATAGAGCAAGTCCAGAAGCGCTTCTTATCATCTGCTGCCAATATTTTAAAAATAGAGCATACTAAACATGATTAACTTCCTGTTTCTAATAAGCTTGGACTGATTTCCTTAGTAGATAGACTTATGAGAGCGAATCTAGAATTTTGAGTACCTAAGTTAATTAACACGTTCAAAGCCGCCCCTTGATTTCGGCAATTATACCGCGACGCCGCGTTGCAGGCGTCCGTTGTAGTATCGTATATAACGCCAAATGAAACAAATTATTGTATTTTCAATATTATTAGTGGCAAAGTAGCCATATTGCATGATATAATATGTTACTATTATTAAATAACAGTAGAAAAATTCATAATATAATAATATATCTAATATACACCCTGTATACGTTCATATACATTGTCTTGGGAAGGCCTTCAAAAACAACGATTATCAGTATCTAATAATAACGAAAACTCAAACCAATTATAGATTTAAATTTAGAGTTTATTGTCTACAGCCTGTGTACATTTCAGAGTTTATAAAATAAAATCGATTAAATTATGGCAGATACAAACGTACATGTTACTGACGCGTAAACGCGTCACTGGCCCAATGGAATAAACTCTATATACGCGTCAGCGGCGTTGAAAGTGTTAATGGTCATATGATGCTCCTTCTTTAATCTCCCAAGTTAACTCTAGAGTTCTTCCTCGTTTTTCTAGATCACGTTATCCTTTAGTAATTCCTTCCCATCATACTAAGTATGATAAGAATAATCCAATTGATCGAATAATGTGTTTGGCCAATGAGCACTCTACCTTATAAGAGGGGAGTTCTTATTTAAAAAAACAGAAGTTTGTTTTGCCACAAGACACATCTCCTTAAATTAAGTCTATAATTATATTATCTTTAATATGTGTTTTGTTAATTATTAATTATATTGTGTCTTCAAAATGTTGTATTCTTTAAATCATATAAACTGTTAATTTTAATTACTTTCTGTTGTCATATATTGTATTTTTTAATTATGTGTAAAATTAAATTGCACCTTTGGGCCTTGTGCCTATATATAAATAAATAATAAATGATAATAACATTATTTATGCATTATACATACCAGCCATTTTCTTAAAACATACATACTGTACACTTTTCATAATTAATCAATCATTTATACATATGTTTATCATAATTATTTTATAATACATTTTGAAATTGTGCACTATTTTTCTAAAGATCCACGAGCAAACACTGTATACTCATAAATAATTATTATTTGCTCATTATTTGCTTAAATATGCAATTTTTAATTTTTATTTTCAACATTATTTTAATAGTGAGGTATTAATTAGGTATTAAAAGTTGCAAATTCTAATGGAATACTATTGCACTTAAGAAAAAGCTGGAAATGATAAAAAAAAAATATATATAAATATTCAATCAATTTTTTTCTGGGTACTGTAATATTAAAATTAAAAATAAATACAAATTTTTTCTCAGAATTTACGAAATATTCCAAAATATGCTAAATGGATTAAATATTCTCAAATATACAAAAAAAACTTTTTTCTACGCATTCAGAATTGAACGAATCGTCCACATTTTTTTATTCTCATAAGACTGAACAGATCCAGTTACGATAATATGTAAAAACATATAAATCCGGTCTTTACTCATAAATAACCACAGTGTTTCTAAGGGATATAGTATCAATTATCAAACTTTGTTCTTGTTATAATAAATAGATAATATTGTACCTAAACTCATAATACTAGGTAGTATTTTTACTTACTAATTTTTTTGTTACTTGTAAATTTGAAATTTCCTGTTCGACTTCAACTGTATTTAAGTCTAATGGAACTTGAGCCGGTGCCTCTAGATGAACACAGTGGAACACCTATGAAGAAAAAATTGACCATTCAAATATTTAGAAATATGAGTGTTACTTGTACATTTCTACTAGACCTGGCCTACCTCATTCGCTGAATTATAAGTACCAGTTATACGAATAAATACAACGGGCCGAGAGTTGAACTGCAAAAGTTGCCAAGATCGAACAAGCTCTTTTGATTTGTCAACAATCAATTCCCAATCCCACATGTTAACTGATACTTCAACATAGTAACTATAATAGCGATCGTCACAATCCCAAAGTAGCATTCTGTAATAGTCATTAAATCATTAATTTAATAAAGATGTAATAAACTCAATAATGTTCCTTCGGAAACATCAACAACCAAAACTTTTAGTGTATGTTGCTGATACGCCTAATGGATTTAATTTAGCTCTTAACTATAATAAGTTAGCAATCACTTTAAGCTAAACTCACAAAATAGTTGAAGCAGTTAACTGTGAAATAAATAATGATAACTACCTACCTCATTGAACTAAGCATATATGGTTGACCAAGTTGTACAAGTATACATCCAGAACCCAATTGATGGCATGTGTAACCGCAATCCCAGTCATAATCTTTACAGTTACCATCCAATAGTGAATTTCGACAACGACTCACTCCATCAATCACAATAGCATTCATGGCCATTGTGGCAACATTATATTTTGGCACTAGAATAGTAGAATTCAATAAACCTAAATAGAATATGCATAGTACTGCAAACTAACTTACAAAGTGTGTTTAATTATCACATTTTTAGGATTTTTAGTAAATTATATTTGAAGAATCATTACAAATTTTAAACACATATATATAACGTTTAAAAGGGTTAGATTAATATTTCTAATTGGGAACTATTTAAAAGGGTATTATAACAAAAACAATTTTCTGTATTACACATCTGAAAAATAGTAAAAACAACTATGTAACTGTTCATTATTTATAATTATTATAATTAACTGTATTGAAATCTAAACATTAAAAAATGTTAAGGCTATTTCTTAGTATGTGTTCTATTGAGTCTAAAGAGGTCTTTTTTGTAACTGTTATTAATCTAATGTCAGAAGGCTGGCATACGTAAATGATTATAAGTTATACACAAATGTTTACCTACATTAAAATATCACACTATCCAATTTTATGATGAAATCATTAACAACTATGCACAAGAATAGTGACACAACGCAAAAACATGATTTTTTCAAGAGAGCAGTTAGAAAATTTGAAAAAACTGTTTTTTAATTTATTCGTCTAATTTTTAGGAAAAAATGTATGGATTTTTGAGAAACTGTTTTAATGTTGTACATACAATTAAACTTTTGTTTTGTTTCTGTTTTATTTATAGTTATCATATTTAAAAATCATAAAAATAAAAAATAATTTTTACTTATGCCACTTTTCATGAAAATATATACAACATTATTTGGTAAGGAGATATTTATAATTTTGTATTAACTCAAAAAACGCCACTTTTCATCATAAACGGTTTGTGTTATCGACGAGAACCGGATCATAACTGATAAGATGTCACTTTTGAACAAAACGGTATACCAAATATGTAATAGTTGAAAAGTGACACTACCGCGATTTAGTGGACATTTAAATTATTTTGACTTGTATCATTATTCTATATGAAAGTATACATTCCAAAGAATTGATTTTTGATGCTAACTAAAAATCTAATATTGGCTTAGTTTTATTATCATGTTACACTGTATTATTTAAAAATATTTTTATCTGTTACAGTAATTAACATTGAATGCTAAAAAATAGTCTAGTATTATTGTGTGCAAATCTAATGATAATTAACAATAATATGATGTAAAGTATTTTTATTCTATACATTAAAATACACATACCTACTAATCCTTTTTCAATATCTACTAAATGCATTTCTTCGGAATTGTACATTATTTCCATTGAAACTGTATGGAAACATTTATTAACAGTGTTATTGGTACCCACAATACGAATGTATTGCACTACCCGAGGATGTATCCACAAACGTTGTGTTGATCGACAATAATAATTTGAATGATCAATAGCACGCACCCAATCATGCTGATCCATTGACACTTCGATGTAATAAGAATAGGACCTAAATTACAAACGTGTAAATGAATAATGTATTTATAATTTGAAAAAAATATTAATTCCTTTACCTAAGATCCTTATCCCATAGTTGCATTTTTATATAATTAATGATTGAAGGATGACCAAGCTTTATCATAATACCGCTGTCACTTTCATTAATTAAATGCCTAGTACAGCCCCGCTCATGATCATGACCACTAGAATCAGATTCTAATAACGCTGAACGCATTTCTCCTTGCATTACCTGAGCGCCTTGTGAAGGATGAGCAATATTTAAATTAGGTTCTAAAACAAAATAAAAATTTTATTAAATTATTACCGCACAAAAATAACAAAACTAGTGTCAATTTAAAAAGTAAACAATATTTGCATACTTAGCTGTCCTCTAAATTTGAGTTTATGTGAAGGTAATGTATTTCGTAGTTGTATGGCATCCAAAATGTTGTCAGAACTTACAAGTTGCGATTCCCTCACAACGGAAAGCAATTCATCCAGACTCATCAAGGGATATCTGACGGCAGACAAAACTTTAATTTTAACCTCGGGGTCTTCATCATCTTGATTTGCCTTAATCCAACGACAAACTGCACGAAATATATCCAATTCGTAAGCGTACAATGAATCTCTATTAAGTACTTCTTGAAGTGCTTCCTAAAATTAATTATATAAGCCAATTATCATATAGAAATATAATTATTTTGTATAACTTACGGAAGAAAGAGATAAAAAAGCTTCAGATTGAAGTACTTCCAATGCATGGTAGTCAGTAAAATTCAACGCTTCAGTAACTAACTCTTTATGCTGATATAAACGTGCTGCAGCAAACATGGAGCACACATTATAAACATTGATATTACTGCGTAAATACTTGCACAACGACAGTTCCAAATTGGTGAAACCAAATAAATTGGAAAGACTAAATATTTCTAAAATTACTTCATCCTAAAACATAATAATTAACTAATAACTAATATTCACAAAATGTTGCATAATTTAATTTAATTTAAATTTATTCAAATTCACCTTTAATATACTTAAGTTCATGCGTCCCGAGTAAATGTATTCAAGAAGTTTTTTAAATGAATTTACCGAAGCTTCGGTGATTTCCACTTCTGCTTGATGAGATTCTTTGAGACCACCATACAGCAACGCTCTGTAAATTAAACAAACAATTAATGAAAATATTCAAAACAAGATTCACAAGTTAGGCTACAAACATTATTTCAATATAATTAATTTAAGTAATAAGAATAATAAAAAAAAAAAAATTAAATATATTAATTATAAAAGTTGTTATTTTAAATCAAAATATATATTTACTTTCCCATAGTACAAATAATTTGATACGTTTATAAATACCACAAGAATTTAAAATATCTTTAAAAAAAACTATATATTAAGGTGAACTACCTATGTAATATTATTATTATTATTAATATTAAATTAAATAACCGGGAATATAAATGTTTGATAAACAATCGTCAAATAAAAGCTGATAATTTTAAACAGATATCCACAAAGGGTAACATTATAGATCATTTTTATGTTTAATACTATATGAAGTGTTTTTATAACACAATCAGGTATATAGTATGTTATATAATTTGTTTTGTCACACTTTACATATAATATTATTCAATGATATTTCATTGTGTACAACTTATTATTAGTTGTATTTTACAAGATTAAATGCAAACATTTTGAAGAAGGTCCAATAGATATTTGGCTAAAAGTCAAAATTTCAAGGCATATTTGTAAGTATGATATTATTTTCTTATAGTTGCAGTTTCTTTATAACTTATCTGAAATTTAATTAAATTAGGATTATTATAAATTCAAGTTTCAGATATAATGGAACTTATAAGGAAACTAATATACACTTGGTTAAAAAAAAAAAAATTATATAAATATACAATTTTCAAGGTCTCTGACTCAGAAAACCATTTTTTATCAACATATTAAAAAAAAACTAAAAAAGTGGAAATATTCAAATGTTTAGGTTTACTTATTCTTATTCACACCTAAATGTAACCACAAGGTCAAAAGTTGAATTCAACTCAACTATGCGGTAATATTTGGTAACTGTGATTATTTTACAGGACACGGTGTAGTGTGAACTTGGCTTTAGTCTGTGCTAAAGACAACAATTTGAAAAAGTTATATTAACTATACTCTTACTCAGTGCCGTAACTAGGCTACTTGAGACCTGTGTGCAAAACCAAAATATTGAGGCCCCTTATTATCTTTTTCAATACACACTTCAAAAACTTTTTTTGCAATTTTTAAAGTCAGCAGACTAAAATTCGGGCTTAAACAAAAAAAAATGTTTAATTTAAAATAATCTATAATTTTAAAACAATTTCTCAAGGCTATAACTTACTCAAAAAAGTAAAAATTTTCCAAAATTTAATTTATTGAAAATATTAATATAAATATATGCTGAAAACTTCAATGGTCTACGGTTATTAGTTTTCGACTTATACCAAAAAAAAAAATTTTTGGTTTTAGGTAAAAATGAAAATTTTTTTTTTTTTTATTGACGCTTTGTAATATCTAAAACTAAAAATTTCGGTTTCGATCTCCAAAAAGTACCAACTAGATTCACTTTTCTAACAGAAAAAATGCTGATCTCGAAATTCGGAATATTTTTACTACCCAATGTTGATGACCGACAGAAATGAAAAAAATTATACACGTCTTGTAAAATCAATACATTTGTTTGTTCCTCTCAAAATCTAATAACAGTGATTACGACTCCATGCTATATAAAAAAAAATAAATAACATTGGTTTCGTTTCCAAATCAATAATAAATAATTTATATATTTTAATAATTTTATATTAGTTTAATATTAGTCTTTAGATCTTTTGAGGCCCTTCGATATATTATGCCTGTGTGCGGTGCACACTTTGCACACCCGGTTTTTACGGCACTGCTCTTACTCTAATATTTATACTCCAGAAAATAATATGTTAAATAGAAAAATAATTGAACAACAAAGTATTAATAAATACAATTATTCAGTTGCCAATAATTGTGATAAAAAATATTAATATTATTAATTTAAATTTAATGTTAAACAAAAATTATAATTGAGTTCAAAGTATATAGAATTACGTAAGTATCCAACAAATCAAAAATATTTGATTGATTATAATAATCAATAGACAATAGATAATATAAAATCTCCATGCATTACAGTAAATGTCAATAACACAAATAAGTAATATTATAACATTTTGTTTTAATAATGAATAAATAGCTTATCTTGCAGGGATGGAACTTTAGAACAAAAAAATAACAATTTAAAAGGCACAAATGACAATAACTGGAAGAGTAAAAATTACAAAAAAATTAAATAAAATTCCTACAAATACAATATAGACTTCTTAACTTATTATTTTTAAATTGGATATTTGTATTATGGTTGTATTTTATGTTTAGTGTATAAAAATGTATTGTTGTTTTCCTTAAATACAGAATTATGAATTCAAGGTTAACAAGTAACAACTTATTATTTAAAAATAATATTTTTTTTTTTTTTCAATGCATAAATCAATAGTGAAATGTATTAAACATATTATTTTTTACCTTATATTATAACATTTCAGTAAAATACAAAGATTATATTACCTAAAATAATCGCTTCTAGAAGCCAACACCACTCTGTGAGCATGGAAACGTTCACCATTCACTATCAACACAACATCAGAAAACCTATAAACCAATAAAATAACAAATTATAATTGAAAATCTACCTAATTAAATATGAATTATTTTTAATTTCTTATAAAATATATTTACTAAGTAATTCATCATTATACCCTATTAAATGTGTGTACTTTAATGAATACTATATTTTAATCAAACAAATATAATTAAAAACATTATATATATTAATGAAATTGTAAAATATAACTGATGGTAGGTACCTACTACTTATCATCTTTAAATTATATAATGATTTCTTTAAAATTAAGTCTTATTTTTTTCTTTACCTGTATTTTTTTAACAAACTGCAAAATATAGGTAGGCACCTACCCTAGTATTTACACAATTATTAGAATATTTTTAGTTGGTAGATAAATGTGACAACAATGCCAAATATATTAAATAATGTAGGTATTCATAACTCATATTTAAAGATGAACCACAGTTGACTATTAATAATTTATACATTTGGCGTAGAAATAGTACCTATCTAAATTATAATACAATTTACTTATTCACCTGTCATTGAGATAAAGTGTGCCGATGTCATTGGCTAAAAAATGAGCATGGTCGATTTGCTCGTAGCTGTGTTGTTTTTCAATTGACGTAGGCGATTTAGATTCAACTGGACTATGATTTCCACCATTGCTGGTGTCGACCGCACCATCTGCCAAATGTTGACCGCTCATCGCACCACTGCGGTGAGTGTAGAACACGGGTCCGTATGCTGCTGAAACAAATGTACATTATAGCATAAACTTATATGATGAGCTCAAGAGTGGATATAATAATGAAAAAAAAGCCAGATCTATATCATTATTATTATTATTATTATTAGACACATTCTAGTCGATCAGTACTGGGCCACAGTCGACCGAACGTCACAGACGTACTCATCTCCTCCTAGTCATAGACAAGTATAGCTCAGAGTTCAGTTCCAAGTTGCATCGGCGGTGGATATGGTGATTTTTTCGTTGTTGCCTGACCAACGACCGGATTACAAATGTGCACTGTGGTAAACCACATAGAGTGTCTGCGCGGAAGAGCCACGACCAGACGAACCATTTTATAATAACCGCAATTGCAGTAATCGATACGCGTAATTAAAATAATATTATAATAAAACTAGGTATTGTTATTACCTACCTTCGAATTCCAGTGGGCAGAGTGTAATTTTTGTTTCGTAGATTAGATAAAAATTAATATTATAATAGTATGCGTTATAAAACCACCGACGCCGTTGAATGGCGCAAAACGATCAGATTTGTGCGTGTGTAATGTGTATGTGTACTATCTTTTGTAGATAACTATATAGGTGTTGGGTACATGGGTTCGACGATTCAACGGTAGTAATAATTGCTATAATATACAACAAATAACAATAGGCGTGTTTTGATGCAGTAGTAACCGCGAGTAAACTGTTTATTGAATAAAATATAATATGTAACACTGATCCGCGTCTTAATGACGATGTTATGAAAACGTCGAATACTCGAGTCTCGAATGTCTAGATGTCTCGATATCACAAAACAATAATATTAATGATGATAACGCGACGGCGGGGTGTGCGTGTAGTCAGTGTAAGTTGATCTGTGGAACAAAAGAGAAAACAGTGCCCGTGCAAGTGTCGAACCCGGTCGAAGGGCAAAAGATGAAAATATTATTATGTTTGTGTCCTAATGTCATATTATTGTCAACTGCGCACACTGATAAACGTTATATATGTATATAAAAATGTTAATTCACACTATTAACAAATTACATAATAATATGCAAATTTCAAATGATGAATTCAAAACAATTTTTTTTTTGTACCTACACAATAATTTATTCTGTGACAATAATAATATAGTTCTCGCTTATGTGCGAAGTGCGACAGCGCCGTACGCACTACGCACTACGCATTACTGCGGCAGCCTTTCCATTCTCGGCGATTGAGTGTCGCAGAGTGCAATCGCGGTTCGCGGAGCTTTTTTGTTAATTTTGTACAGGTACATAGGTATGACGCAGAGTGCACGCACTAACCACGGTAACCTTGGTCTCGTCCCTTCCGCGGCAAGACAGTCGTGACAAGACGTGGCAACGCCAACAATATAATAAAACACATTAATAATAATAATAATAATATTAGGATACAAAATACAAATATCTGAACTATCATTATCTATATATAATATATATATATATTAATATATTAATAAAAGGGAATGTTTGTGTGTGCAGTGGCGCAATTAAGAGTAGAGGGGGTGAAAGGAATAGATGTCCCCCAGATCCTTTATAAGTTATAACTTATAAGTTATAACATTTTTAAGTCATTTTTTCATCTTTTAGGGCATTTTTTGTACTTTTTATACAATGTGGGGCATTTTTCACAAATTATAGATTTTAGGGCAAATGTTACACCCAAGTTTGGAAACAAATTTAATTTATTTAAAATCTAACTTTGGATTTGTAGGTAGCCAGGTAGGTACTATTAGGAGAATGTCATTTTGAAGAATAATGGATTTAAAATTGTAACTAACATCTCTGAAATGCTAGATGGCCATATTAATTGTACAGTGCAACAATGCAATATGAATAATATTATAACATCAACATCCTAAAACTAATAATGAAAATATTTTTAATATAATTTTTAGATTCTGAGCTGAGCGATGAATGTATTGGTTTTACAATGATGTATGTTTTTATATTTTAGATTCTGAGTGAAACGATGAATGTATTGATTTTACAATGATGTGTGTTTTTTTATTTATTTTTTTATTTTTTTATTTTTTTATTTATTTTTTTTTTTATTTTTGTGTCTGTCATCACGTTTTAGGACAGTAAAAGTGCTTGGATTTTCTTCATCAGTAGCTTTTCTGATAGGAAAGTGAATCTAGTTGGTACTTTGGGGGGTCAAAAGTATAAATTTCCCAGTAGTTTTCACAAGCGCCGGGAAAAACAACATAAAAATTAAGGAAAAACGGGAATTTTTACGCAAAATTGGTTTTCCAAAAAATCGATTTTGGTTTTTGGTGTAACTCTGAAACAAATGAACGTATATACATGAAATTTTCACTGGTTGTTTATATTTGCATTTTCTATACACGATAACATTTTCAAAATATTTTGATTTATTTTGAACTGTTTAGGGACATTTTCATTTTCCATTTTTTTTTAGTTTTTTTTCTAAAAATATCAATAAAATTTTATTTGTTGGTTGCGAAAGCTTGAAAATTTAATAGAAGGCTCCTAGTATATTGTTTCAAAGGCAGATGAAAAATATTAAAAATCCTTAGTCACAATTTTTTTTTATAAGCATTTAAAGTTCAAAAATTGACAAAATATGGAAAAATCACGAAAATTAGCAAATTATTTTGAGTTAAGAATTCGTAAAAATTTTTCTTTTTAAATCTAAGATTTGAAAATTAAACACAAGATTCCTTATAAGATTATCTACCTTTATCAAAAGAAAAATGTCTATAAGAAAGTCAAATTAAATTTTTATGAGCGTTTGAAATTCAAATTTTTACAACATTGAATATTCACTCGATTGCCCATGTAGCGATTTCCTTATTTAGTTGTAATTCAAAAACAAATAACTGTAGATACATGAAAATTTCACTGAATGTTTATATTAGCATTTCCTATACACCATACAATTTTGAAAATATTTTGACTCTTTTTGAGCTGTTTATGGACATTTACAGCTTTCAATTTTTTTTAGTTTTTTTTTCTATAAATATCAATAAAGTTTTATCTGTTGGGCCAAAAAGTGTAAAAATTTAATACAAGGCTCCTGATATATTGTTACAATAGCAGTTGAAAAATATTAAAAATACATAGGCACAGTTTTTTTTTTATAAGCATTTAAAGATCAAATTTTAACAAAATTTATCAAATCTCGAAAATTATCAATCATTGAAATTAATAAATTATAAAATGTTCAGTTTTTATAGCTAAGGATTGCCAATTTAAAACAAAGGTTCTCATAAATAGTTCATATTGTAACCAAAAAATCTAAAAAATATATGAACACAGTTATTTTTTACAGACATTTTAAATTCAAATTTGGACGAAATTACATATTAAAAAACCTAGAATAACTATTTTAGTTATTTTGTTGTGATTGAATAATATTATTCGTGGGTATTTGAAACTTCTAAAGTGTACTATTATATATCTATGATAGTATCACGGTTTTTGTTGATATATAACGCGTTATAAGTACCTAATGGACATTGTGATATGATTAATTTGGAATTTATTATAAGTACCTATTATAGGTCAATTTTTTGTTTAATACCATAGATATGCCGTAAAATGAGGATACTTTGCACCAAATTTCTTGTTTTTTTAACTTAAAACATACACTGCTACTTTAATAATTAGGATATAATATTGCAATTTCCACAGTTTTCTAGCTATGAACATAAGGAATGTAAAGTCGAAGTTTAAATTTGATTAACTTAAAAAATAAATTTATAGTTTTTTTTTTAAATTTTGGTGCAAAGTTATATGTCTGTTGGGGTGACTTTGCACCACTTACAATTTTACCTTGAAATATCATAGATAACCAATTCTGGTGCAAAGTAAGAACTTTGCCGATTTTTTTCAAGCACGGTTAGTTGTAAATGATAACGTTCCTTATCACGGACACATATTTTCGAGGGAAATCCTGATACTGATAATAAAATCGTTTCCAATCATTAGTTATGAAGTTAGGAACAAGATTTTTTTTTAAAATCGTTTCATACCTAAATTAGTTTCCAGGTTATGACAATTAATAACAAAAAATTATTTTGGTGCAATGTTGACCCCCCCTGGTGCAAAGTATCCTCATTTTACGGTGTATATAATATGTCTTATACATAGACTGACATACCGTCTCCGCTCAGAATCGTTTTTCTTATACAATGATATTATATCGTTGAATTCAAATTTAATATCATCCATTATACAGTGACCCACTTGTAACCTACTGTACAGCAGAGCGACACCCACTTGCCCACCTTTTTATTTATATTTTTATATTTTTATATTTTAGATTCTGAGTGAAACGATGAATGTATTGATTTTACAATGATGTGTGTTTTTTTTTTTATTTTTTTTTTTATTTTTTTATTTTTTTTGTGTCTGTGTACACGATAAGTAGTCGAAATAATGCTTCGATTTTCGACTTCAGTATCTTGTTCGATTGGAAAGTGAATATCGTTGGTGCATTGGGGAGGTCAAAATTTAAATTTCCCAGTAGTTTTCAAGAGCGCCGGGAAAAACAAAAGAAAAATTAAGGAAAAACGGGAATTTTTACGCAAAATCGATTTTTCAGAAAATTGAATTTGGTTTTTGGTGTAACATTAAAACAAATGACCGTAGGCACATGCAATTTTCACTGGTTGTTTATATTTGCATCTTCTATACACGATAACATTTTCAAAATATTTTGATTTATTTTGAACAGTTTAGGGACATTTTCATTTTTAGTTTTTTTTTAGTTTTTTTTCTAGAAATATCAATAAAATTTTATTTGTTGGTTGCGAAAGCTTGAAAATTTAATAGAAGGCTCCTAATATATTGTTTCAAAGGCAGATGAAAAATATTAAAAATCCTTAGTCACAATTTTTTTTTTATAAGCATTTAAAGTTCAAAAATTGACAAAATATGGAAAAATCACGAAAATTAGCAAATTATTTTGAGTTAAGAATTCGTAAAAATTTTTCTTTTTAAATCTAAGATTTGAAAATCTAATACAAGATTACTCATAAGATTGCCTACCTTTATCAATAAAAAAATCTCTATAGGAAAGTCAAATTAAATTTTTATGAGCGTTTGAAATTCAAATTTTTACAACATTGGATATTCACTCGATTTCTCATGTGGCAATTTCCTTTTTTTGTTGTAATTAAAAAACGAAT